CACTCACTTATCCATTCATTCATTTATCCATTCCAATCATCTATCCATCCACTTTCATCCATCCACTCACTTATCCATTCATTCATTTATCCATTCCATTCATCTATCCATCCACTTTCATCCATCCACTCATTTATCCATTCATTCATTCATTCATTCATATATCACTTTTATTATTTTCGCAAGCACCTCAAGGCAGCAAACACCCCCCAAAACAACAACAACAGCCCTGTGAGGTAGGTTGGGCTGAGGGAGTGGGTCTGGCCCAAGATCACCCAGCTGGCTTCCATGGCTAAAGTGGGCCTAGAACTCCCCGTCTCCTAGTTTCTAGCCAGGTGCCTTCACCACTAGGCCAGGCGGGCCCTAAAGAAAGCAGGTGGCGAGAGAGGAATCGCCAGGGGAGGCAGCTGACCGACCACCTGCTCTCATACCGAGGATGGGGGGGGGTCTCTGCTGTGCACAGGTGAGAGGGAATATGGGCCGCATTCCCACTACACGCGACGCTTAACCCTTGATCTGCTTTCCAGTGTCAGAAAGCGACCAGAGCTTTGAGGTGACCATGACAGCCACCACAGAAGTAGCTGACCATGAGGTGAACGAAGGAACGGTCACTCAGATTCAGGTCAGTCTCCCGGGGGAGGTCTCCCCGTGCAATCTTGGGCCGCCGGGGCTCTGGTGGGACTTGAAGACATCAAACAGAGTCTTGCTTTATCAAAGAAAGGGGTTGTTTATATTCTGAGGGCCGGAGAGGTGGGATTCAGACAGTTCACACCGGATCGCCCAAACTGGTGTGGAAATCATGGGGGGGGCCTGCCGACCCACTCCGGCTCCGTACCCTCCCATTTAGGCACATTTTTTTAGCCCGGGCGCATGTGCAGAAGCCGCCCGCATGAGCCCAGCGCATCCACGGAAGGCCGAAGTGAGCGAGTATGCGGGGGGGGGGAACCAGTGCTAATGTGAAGCCCACGGCTGGTCCCCCCTCCCTTTCTGGAGGTTGTGGAAGTCAGAGGAGCCCTGATTTAAAGGGTCTCCTCTCCCCTTTCCCCCTCCCAGATCCTTCAGAACGAGCAGCTGGACGAAATCTCTTCTCTAGCCAACGAAGAAGTCTCGGCTGTCAGTCAGGCCTGGTTCACCACCAAAGAGGACAAGGACTGTCTCACAAACAAAGGCAAGTTGACGTTGTCTATTGGCGGTGGGGGGGTGGGGGGGGCGTCTCTGGGCCGGGGGGAGCCTGGGAGAATTGGCTGCATGACGGAAAAGTAGGACGTTGTTTTGAATCCACCTGTTTTATTCAAAGAACTTGAGGACAACATGCTAGCTTTTTTTTTTTTTTTTTTTAGTGGGGGCTAATGAAATTTTTTTTTTTTTTTTTTTTTTTTGCAATGGGAGCTAATGAATATTTATATTTATTTATTTTTTAGCGTACGGCTAAATTATTAGAACTTGCATTTTATTGGGTTCTCTGCTATTCTGGCCTTTACATTTTTCTTCTTCTCTAGAATGAATAGAAACTTTTCATTTCCAGTTTGAGGCATTGATTTATCAGTGCTTAAAGCCAACATTAAATTTGGCGTTGAATTTGTCCATACGGTATTAAATTTGTTGCGTGTTTGAAAATATAAGAGATTGCTGAATTGGGTGCTCAGATATAAAACCACTTTGCATGACTCGGGAAAACGTTGGGAAAAAAAAACGATACTGTGATTTAATTATCTCATTTACTGTGTTTTAAGCCACCCAATAATTGCCATTCTCTGTCAGCTTAAACTAAAAAATTAATAATGCTGAAGTGGTTATGAACGATTACTTAAAATTCATCTGCTGGATTAGAAGCAGATCTAAGAAAACCTTCTCGGCTTCTCTGTGCCCCGTAAGTTGAAGTGCTCGCAGGGTGTTTCGTGTGTGACGGCTTTCTTCTCCATTTTCAAGGTCATAAGTGGAAGCAGGGCATGTGGTCGAAGGAAGAAATCCAGATTTTGATGAGCAACATTGAGCGCTATCTGAAGGTTCGTGTTTGCTCTCAATACGTGTCCTAGTTTCAGACGTTGCTCTCTTCGGTCTTTCCGTCAGTGGGATTCCATAAGAGCTTTTCCATCTCTCTTGTAACACACACACACACACACACACACACACACACACACACGTTTCCAGGAAAAAACTCCTTTCCGGGTACTGATAAGTCCCTTTCGCTCCGTACCTGAAGAGACCAGGCTCTTCCCCTGAGTTTTCAGGAGCTCATGAAGCAGGAGATCTGGTTGAGCAGCATGCAGGCTCTCTACTTACCCGTTCAGCCAGATGATGAATGGCCCTTTTGTTTAAAGTGGGGCTGTCTGACCTTCTCAGAGCCTTAAATCAAAGGCTCAATAGTTGGCATGAAGCCAACAAATCTTAAATTGGGACATCCTGAATCTCCGCTTGACCCCGACTGACACGGATTCAGCCTTTTCTTAAAAGTGAAAGCATCGGCCTGCCTCCCATAGAGAGAGAGAGAGAGGCCTATAAAGAACATTTCAGCTGGATTTGTTTATAATAGATTTCATTTTATGTATGTGTGTATGTATGTATGTATTTAATGTCACAACCCCTGGTATGCCCAAATATGGGAGGAAGCAGACTGCTTCCTTTCTCTGTCTATCAGCTCGTCACAAGAGTCCATCACGACAGAAAGCCATTATTTTTACTGTTGCCTTTGTTACATTTGTGTTGCATTTGTGCTGATAGATAGATAGATAGATAGATAGATAGATAGATAGATAGATAGATAGATAGATNTTCATCAGAACTTTGGCTGGCTGGGTACTATAAAATCTTTCTATCATTCTTGTAAATTTTTCCTCCGAATTTCATCTCATAGAATAGGAGAATTCTGAATAGAATAGAATATAAATAGAATGGCATAGAAGGCAGAATAGAATGTAAATAGAATGGAACAGAATAGAATAGAAATAGAGTAGAGGAAAGTAGAATTCTTTATTGGCCAAGTCTGGTTGGACACACAAGGAATTTGTCTTTGGGGCAGATGCTCTCAGTGTCCATAAAAAGACAAGATACATTCATCAAGAATCATCAGGTGCAGCACCTAATGGGAGTCCCAGGGTGCTCATTCCCTCCTCCTGCCCTAAGTTTTGGCCGTCTTCCTCAGATGGCAGCAGCACAGGCGTTCCCATGCGTCATAGCACAGGCTTGTGATGTTGAGCATCTTGGCACGGAGACCCTTTTCCCTCTCCCCAATATCTTCCTCCCAGTTGTTGTTTTTCCAGCCGAGCACTGAAACCGATGTGTTGCCAGGGTCCTCCCGTCCTCTTCTTCAGGAAGACACACCTGGTGGGGTTGTGCTGTTTGCAGACCCCCTTCTTCACCCCCGATAAATTATTCCCTCACTGGCCTGCTCTCATTTTTGTCCAACCTGCTGAGCAAGGCATCACCAGGGCCCGGCATCTGAGAGCTTTGAGAAGACGCACATTAATCGCATCTCTGTGAGGTTTCCGTTTTTTTGTTTCATGAAAGGGTTAAATTGAAAATTCTCTGTGTGCGGAGGCTCATGGCCAGGCATTCACACTCTCTTCGCCTGTTGAGGCACATGGATCTTGTAAGTCTCCCCCCCACATACCCTTTGCTGGGTGTTCCAGATAGGTGTGTCTAAGACAGTTACACAATGCAGGTCAATATCCAGGAAAGGAAGGGAGACACAAAAATCACTTCCAACGCAAGGACCAGGCACAACAGGTTCTTCGGAAAACACAGTGACCGAGTAAAACTCTCCTGTTCACATTTGTTGTTTCTCAGTTGCACACGCACACATCCGTCCGCGCTTAGCCACCTCAAGAACGCAACAAATTTGCAGATGTCACAAAGCCATAGCATGTGGGGATGAACATGGAAGACTCACCGTCTGGATAACCAGCGTGTAAAAGATTTCTCCGGTCACAGAAGGAGAAGCATGTTGGAAGGGGCCCTTCCTTAGCTTTCTGGAGAGTAAAAGGAGAGTAAAAGGGGAGAGAGACTTTCACTCTTGCAAGAGTCCGTTAATGTAACCTTGTAATAAAGGTAGACTTGTGCTCCTTATGGTGCTTCTGGTCTGGACTACCTCACAGGGAGGATAGCAAAACTAACAAAAGGCCTCAGACCACATTTATCAAGATTCTCGAGGACCTCAACTTGGCGAAGCATCAACAGTGGGCATCAGCCCACAAGAGGAATCCCTGCTGGATGAATGACAAAGCCTTTGAGTTGAGTGATAAGAATCAAAAGTTGTAAGACGGGTGGGGCAACCCAGGAGCCATTTTCCAGTATCTGAATGTATGAGAGGAGGGAGGAGAGCTGTTGGAGGGGGCTCCTGAAGAGAAGACCAGAAGAACATCGCGAGAACATCGAGATCGGTTGGACATCAGGAAAACCATCTTGAAGGTCGATGGGAGATGTTGGTGAGGAGTACCCCATATATATATCCCCCAGGGAGATTTCATTTCTCCCCAAATCTGGAGAGTCTACTTAGGTAAGACCATCATTGGGATGTAAACCTTCCAGCTCCTTAATCCATTTTCCTTGGTGGGTCCTCATGTGTGAGCCTGTGAAGTGGTCTTGATCTTCCTGACGAAAGAGCATCATAAGGAACGGGGGACATCTATAACCCACTTCCTCAGAATCAAGGAGCTCCTTGGACCAGCTGCGAAGCGTTTCACGAGACAAGACGTCCAGCTGCCATGACTCGGCTTCAAGACATTCCTTGACGGTAAGAGATGGTCAGGAGGGACCTGAACTGCCTCAGGAACCGATGAACTTTCTTCCCCCTGGAGACACTTCAACAGAGATGGGACAGCCCTCTCTCGTGGATGCTGTAGCATTGAGATGATGAACCAGATGTCTCCTAAAATCTTAACCAACCCTTGCATTTCTCTGAGTCTGTCCCTCAACTTTCTCTTCCTTGGAGACGATGGGTTTCTTCTTGGTAATCCTCCTCTCAAAGGGCCACTCTCAAAGGGTTTGTTTTTGAAGTTATGAATGAGAAGGTGCAAGAAATAAAAGGCCACCCATGAACCCCACGAGGAGAAGATGTTTTCTGCCTAGGTCGATAACACGCCTGTTTTTTACTTGCCTTTCATGAAGTACTGAGGGCCTCTTTGATTCTGAGCTAAATAAGCAGGTTGTAGGTTCAAAGTAGGTGACAACCAGGTTCTTGGTGCTCTCTGAGCTTGGTTATTTCCTTGCAGACAATTCATTATCTGAACTGGGTAACATCATCAGTGCTAGATGACTATTTTGGATAATGAAATGCCCGCAAGAGGAAAACTGCCATGCAGTTCAACCCTGACCTTCAGATAGTCTCCTGTGTGGGTAAATAATGACCACGTGACTTAACCTGTGATTGTTCTCTTGTAGAGTTGATTATGACCACAGTTGAAGAAGAATCTGACACAGTGACAGTGGAAACCGTGAATTCCGTGACTCTGACCCAAGACCCTCAAGGAAACCTCATTCTTCACTGCCCTCAGGATGGTATAGAACCCCTGTTCTTTGACTGCAGGCTCCCTCCACATTGTTTCAAATGTGCAATCCCTCCTCAGACCAAGATATCGGGCTTCATTGCACGGCCCGTTTGGGGGAGACAGTTTTCAGGGTCCCCGGGAATTTTAGTTTCCTGGAGGAATTTCAAGAATGTCCTTTAAAAAAATAATAATTAAGGTTTGCAATGGATAAGACTTGCATTTCCTCAAGACACCCATTTCACTTCCTGAATCCCAGCCCTCAAAATAGGCCATGCTCACACTGCTGAAGCATGGTTTAAAAAGGGGGTGAAGGAAGCTTTCCCTGTCCGGTCGGTGTCCAATTCTGGCACTGTGCCCATCTCTGTTTCTTGCCCAAGAGGGTCAGCCTTGCCCAAAGATAATGTCCGTGGTCACGTGGACAGCATGGCGCACAAAACACTGCTACCTTTCCACCAACGTGGCACCTATTGATCTACTCGCATTTGCTTGCGTTCCAATTGCTAGATAGAGAGGAGCTGGAGCAAGGAACAGGAGCTCACTCCATCACACAGTGTTTGGGTCTTGAACCTGGGCTGGCAGCTCTCCAGTAGCTTTCAGCTCTGACCCATCGTGTTGAGGCAGGAGGAAGGGGCCAGCCCTGACCCAGCCTGGCCATTTCCCTCTTAAGAACAATTTTCCTTGGCTCTCCAGAAGGAGTTTTGCCCCACTTTGCTCCTTACACTCAAGTTGCTTGAGGCTGGAATTGGATGTGGGAGGATGAGACCAGATCAACTGCGATTGTCATTAATTGCCCAACGCTTGCACAAAGGGTTCAATGACTTCCATTGGAATTGGGCAAACCAAAACGTTAAAACAACTAACGGTCCCTTATAAGGGTTTGATTATTGCAGCGAACGACTCTCTTAAGCCATGAGATTTTAATGCGCGTGAAAATTGGATGAAAGAAAATTCATTTTAATGATATTATGGGCAAAGTATTAGGACTGGAAGTTGCACTTTAAAAGAAAAAGGAAATTAGGCCATTCATTCTTTAGAGGGCACACGGGATGGCACCAGAGAGCAAGTCAAACTTTATGAACTTTTTCTCCATTAAATGCATCTTTTAATTATTATTTTCTTATAAGTGAAGACGCACACCACTAAATGCTAGCTGCTTAGCCTCCGGGGACTGCAAAAGGGGCAGGGGCGTGATGGGCGCAGTGGTCTAGAGTTGAAGACGCTCCCTCCAACTCGGAAGGTTGAGAGTACGATCCTAGGTAGCGGCAGATAGTTGTCTTTCTGGGCCAAAGAGAAATATCTGCTGTGAACTCTATGTAGGCGTCAGGAAGGGCATCCGGCCAGCAAATGCTCAGCTCCACTCAGTCGCCCCGACTCCACTCTGAAAGAAAGGGTCATAACAAGGGGAAAATAATGGCGATTGCCCCTTGGACCAAGAGCTAAAATATGAATATTTTTCAGGCACGGGAACAAAACAGGGATTTTTTTCAATGACTCCATTTCTCCCTGGGATTTCCAGTTGAGTGTCAGGCGGGGTCTTTCCATGACCTGCAGTAGGCGGTTGAGCAAGAGGTAATGTCAGAATGGCTTCCCTTCTGGGCCTGATGGCTCTCCTCCTCCTCCTCCTTCTCTCCGTGGGCGTTTAGAGGCAGACGAAGTAGACTCGGAAGACGGCAGTGAGCCCCCCCATAAAAGGCTTTGCCTGTCCTCGGAAGATGACGAGAGCATCGAAGGACACCCGCCCTGCATCTCGGTCGTGGCGCTTCCAAGTAAGGGCTCCTGAA